CAAGTTGAAGTCGGAAAACCTAGGCTTCCCTTTCAACGTCACGCTCCGGATTTTTGGGAACCGCCGTGCGACGATCTCCGGCGAGACGGAATAACAGTTTCCGATGAAAACGTGAGTCCTCGACCACCGTTCCGCGTTGTACCAGTCCTTGCAGACCAGAGAAACGGAGCTCCTGTCCCGGTGAGATTTCAAAAGAGATAGAACTCGCTCGAGCGCTACGTCGGGTGTTGAGGATCCCCGAGCGGACACGTCCAACGCGGACGAGTCTGTCGACTTATGTACCTCCGACGATTCCATTAACAAACAACGGAGAGTCAAGATAGTCAAAAGAGTACTAAAACCGGAGCATCCGAAACCCGAAGTAGAGATCCGAACTGAAAAAGAAAGAATCTTATGATTGGAAAAAGCTCTCCTATTCCATCTCTTTCAGATTTTCTCTACTAGCTTAAGAAGAAGCTTAAACAAAAAAACAAAATAAAATAGCAATTAATAATTGCTTAGTATTATAACAAAAGCACCATTGCCAGCAGGAGAAAACTTAAAAGCATCTAATCCATCCTCAGAGGCAGAGCTAATGTCGCCCGAATCTGAATAATTAAAAGAGATAATTGTCAAATAATTTAAACCTGGTACTGTGCAGAAAACACGCTTCTGCAATGAACCAGCTGGCAGTCAATACTCTGTTTGCCCAGTTTAGCTGGAGACAAGTGACCTTCATGTTTTCTGCAATTTTTCATCCATTTTTTAAATAAATTTGCGGTGCAAAACCATGCCTCTCACTAAACAAACTTAGAGTGGGGTCCGTTTTGTTTCAGATGAACATATAAACAGTAGGATGACTTGATGAATTAGATTTTTCCTGCTAAAATGGAAGGAAACTCTGTCTTAATTACCGTATACACTTAGAATTTCAAGTGAGTGGCTTTCTCTTGAAAGTTGTTAATTTTTTATTTGTTTAATTAATTAATTAAGAAAAAAAGGGCATTACTTAGGAAATGAAAACAAAAAGGGGGAATGTAAATAAGTTACGTCCATGGGCAAAGGTAAAAAGCTTCACAAATTGTCACGTTGTGCATGAACGGTGACGGGTTTTGGGGTTGGATTGAAAAGTTGTTTGATGAAAGTCATTCGACATAACCAGTTATTTTCGCTGTTTCAATCGAAAAAGATCAATGCGATGGGATGAAAAGTTGAATAAGAAAAGTCCAAAGTGAGAAACAAATAAGAAGCTGAGTTTGCGTGGTTGCTCGTGCAAAGCTCGAAAGCTTTCTTCTTCGGTAAAAATAAGCAGCGTTTCAAGGTGCCATAAGCATTCTGTTCAGTTTCCCACTTCCTGGGTAGTAGCCTTTTGCAAAAACAAAAGGACTTAGCATCCAAGGACAGATTCAATACTTGCTGTTAGGAAGAGGGTTGGGAGAGTACTGGGGTGAGGGAAATATATGGAAATCACATGCACCCGAAAACCTAAACCTCTGTGCCTAATGAACACTAGGAGGTCGTGCCTGTGCCCTAACCCAATCTCATTGGTGTTTATCAGTCATAAGCCATCCCTTTTAGCTTGAAATAAGAGGTGATTTTAGGGTTTAGAACGAATTTTATACCATTTGATTCTAACAAATACATAATTTTTAAATTATATTATAATTTATTATATCTACGTCATTTTTAAGTAATCAGTTAATCAAAACGGATAAAATTTCAATGTAAAAATTTATATTTATTAATATAAAATTGGTTTTTTTTTTCTTTCAATTATGTTCAAAATAGATGGTGAGATGTATAAGATAAGTAGGCATTTTGAACCAAAAAAAAAAAAAACCTTTAATCTAGGAATGAAACCACTTGTATGGAATTCCATGAAATTATGATATTGAATATGGATTAAGACCACTGCTCTTTTTGTCCCCCAAAGATTGAGAAACCCATGTTCTGGGCGGCCTCTTTTCTCCATTCAACGTCCACATCGATGTCCAACCTTTGTACCTTGCCTCCTAGGTACTCGAAACAAATATCGCAATGGCCGACCAAGGTGGAGGGGAGATTACACGTGGCACTCGGTCGCAGGACAATAGTTTATAAAAATTTAACCTCTCGTGTTTCGACACTTGGCAACCTCGTTAACTTTTAAATTAAATTGATGAACATGATTGTAATCATGGTGGGAATCATGACGGACGGGGGCTTGATGGCACATGCATTCGTAGCCCTACCCATATGTTTTTGATTAAAATTTTGGCGCTTTGCTTCAAACTTCCAAGCAACACTATGGAATTCGCTTTATTTTTTGTTTTATTATGAATGAACTTATAGATTGACAAATTAGTTTATTGAGAATAAAATACACCAACAACTATATCTAACAAGATCAGTACGATTATGATGCAAATCATCATTTATTATAGACGATTTAGCTATCAGATCTTAATCTTGAATGATAAATGTCTTTAGCTTAATGACAAATGAATCTTTTATTTTATATGCTATCATTATTATCACTTAATTACATAATGTTACTTCATAAGTAAAGATATAAAATAATTCAGAAATAAAGAGCGCTGTACCGGAGTTCAGCGGGTTTTTGGATAAAAGCATAAATGGACCGCCAAAGAGGTTTGGATTTGGGCCATCTTTCGTCGGTTTAAGGTCCGTTTGGATTTTAACAGGAGGTTCAGTGCGGGTAGGAGTCCTTCCCCGCGACGCTGGTTTAAAACCAGAGAGGTGCAAGTGAACACAATGACTAAGAACAGAAAGAACAATATGTTACACTTATACCTCGAAATAGGTAATATTTTCATGTAGCTCAGAAGCAAACTAAAATTTAGCTTTCAATATCCAAAGTTCCTTGCAAAACCACCTTAGATAACACGTTGGTCTTTCCCCTAAGTAAAAGATTAAATCAATTAAATTGTAAGGTTTGGTAAGGGAGAACACTGCCACGAGGCCAAAGCCCCTGCAGGCAGTATGATTATTATGTGAATGAATAGGTCCAAAGGGGGGAAAATGAAAACAAAATTTTTCTACAGCATTCCAAACTCTGGCAATTCTGCCAAATAGTAACTCCAGAACCCAGACACTTGTTTGTTGCCTTAAATCCCACTGGTATCCCTCCCGAAAATGAAACGCCTTACCCAGTCCGAGACGACCAATGCCCTTGTGCGCCAGCTTACTTGCTTGCTGAATTTGAAGGGCAGGAAAAAAGTTCAGATTAACAGGCTATTAAACTGATTCCCTAAATGTTTCACGAGGTAATGATTCGCTCTGACTCTCTAACAATTCGAACTAATTACCTTGCATAGACAGAATACCAGAGCCACTGCGAGCTGTGTCCGATTGAGACCCAATCACCAGGAAGTTGTGCAGCTGTTTGCTCCCCTCCCAAAGGAGCAAATTGTCCCAAGTGCCTGTACCTGTAAGAAAAATCACCAGTGTTTACGTCAAAGGTTGAATTTACGGATAACAGAGCCGCAGACACTTGCAGAAGAGAGAATGTGCAGAAACGGGATAGAAGTTCAATCTGTACCTAAAGGGATGGAATCGATGGCGACCTGTTCCCCTGAACCTAGCGGGACCTTCAGGATTCTTTTCACACTCTTCCATACGGTTGAAGCAGTTAGCAAGATAGGCACCTTGCTGATTTGCAACCTGAAACATTGACAGATGGTGAATGTGTTAAGTAGGCATTGACTTGGAAAGAAATCAATAGTCTAAATGTGGTATAAGTAAATTAAAATGATTACCTGTGCTGTTGCAGGCAGATTCTTCATCTGAGAATCAACTTGAGAAAGAGCTGATTTAAATTCTTCAATATTCAGTTCAATGGATTCTTTTGCAGCATCCCCTTTGGCTTCCTTCAAAAGATCAACAATGTTCCGCACTTGCTTGCTCTTCAGGTAGAGCTCCACTTGAGGGTATCTTTCACAAATATCATCAATGATTTCTTGAAATTCTTTGACTGTCAATGTTCCTGACTCGTCCTTGTCTGCCTTTTTAAATATTTCCGATATATCCTCCTAAAATGTATTGAAATTTAAAAAACAAAGAGGAAAGGAAAGTAAATACTAGTAATAAACAAAATCTCATAAAGGAATGACGAAGTTTTACAAATAGATACCATGACTTTCCGCTGGTTAATAGTTGCACAGTCACCAAGTGCATAAATGGTATCAAATCCCTCAACACGCAGCCATTCATCAGTTGCCAAAGCACGCCTATTGCCCTGTTCTCACAGAAGACATAGTGGTTTAGTGAATGTATTTAGAAAGTGAAAATAGCTTTCGTGAATGACAATGAAAAAGATAGTTAGTGAAGGATAGAGGGGATTCGATGAGATGAGTTCCTATGTTTAAAAGTATTTCACCTGACCAATTTGCTTCATAAATTCCTTTATGAGAGGACGAGGTCCTATGCCAGTTGACCAGAGAACCATCCCATATGGCGTATTAGTTGTGTTGCCGTTACCTCTTGCTTTTGTAGAAATTTCATTATCATTTATTTTCGTGACCATTGACCCTAATTTCACATCAATGCCATCTCTTCCAAACTTCCCTTCGGCAAAATTTGTGATTCTTTTGTCAAACCTGAGAAACAAGAATGTCTTAAAAGATTGAGAAAACTTCAAATTATGAACTAAATACCTCCAGAAACCTTGAATGTAAAGAACCCACAACCTTTCTAAAATTATTTGAAAAGATTCAATGTTAATATGAGCAAAAACACTAAAGCTCCAAAGTGATAACAGCTATTAGGTAAATAATGATGATGGAAACGAAGTACTACTTGATTTGCATTCTTACATGTTCAGAATATGATCTGTCGCCTCAAGAAGTGTAATTTTCACAAATTCTCTGACCTTTGGATATAGTTTGACCACATCCTCATTGACAAAATCATAGAGTTCTGCAGCAAATTCCACACCTGTTGGACCACCGCCAACAATCACAAAGTGAAGGATTTTCTCTCTCTCCTCATCACTTAAATTTGGTAGGCTTGCCTTCTCAAAGGATTCAATAACATTCTTACGGATCTTCTGAGCATCTTCAACCTCCTGCATGAAGAATCATGTTGCTTAAAATGAAAAGAAAAGGAAATAAAAATACCGGTACAAGCGAATGAAAATGGCTCCTGTCACATATTCCCCCAATCCCAAACGCAGTAATCCATCACCCAAATCCACGGCATCAGCAGAGTATCTTGATTCAGAAGCGCAACTAGTAGCGGCCAGAAAACTTTTACCAAATATAGCAAAACATAAGACAATAAAATTTTAAAGAAGAAAGTTACCTTTAAGAAATGACAATTTTGCTCCACGCCAGGAGTATTAAAGGTGTTAACCTGAGCACCCACGGCTATAATAAGGTAGTCATAGTCTACTGCAAACTCTTCTTCCCCCTTCAATTTGCTATTTACAGTTGCACGACAATAAATTTTCTTATTCTGAGGATCTATCTTGACACATTCAGCTTCAGAGAAACTAATATCAACATTTTTCTGCTCAAGCATGTAGCAGGAAAAACCACTTTCAGAGTTCTTTTACAACTAGTTTTCTGAATTGACAAGACCTATCTTCTTATTTTCACATTTAAAACGCATTACCTTTCTG